ACGTCATCTCTTGTGATAAAAAACAACTGCACTAGTAAACCAGAATCGATAATAATGGATCAAGCCATCTAATATATATTGTTATAATACTCGCTGTCGTAACCGATTTACGATGCGACGGGTTCAAATCATCGATTGAATAAAATACTCCAAACAGTTATTAGTTATTAAACTTTATTTAAAGAAGAAATCAACTAATCGTTTATTTCTAGCAAATTCAAATTAACGCCACAATTAACTTTTAAATTGTTCAAAATCTATCGCTATGACAACGTCAACAAACAAATCAAATATCGCTTTAAATAATTCACCGAATCGCTATTCACGAAATGAGAGTCACGAATTTACAAAATCACGAATTTCACTAATCACGGATTTCACTAATCCTAATCTTTTTGCGACGTGCGCTTATATACTCTTCGCAAGCGTCGTTTCTAGATTCTTCTAGAATCTAGATGGTCCGATTCTAGCATACTCTAGAATGCTCCAGTCACTAGAACATTCTAGAATACGCTAGAATCTAGTGCGTTCGGTAGCACGGTTATAACAATATGTTCACGATGCACGTACAAACTGGCACTATAAAGAATCACAGAATCACATGAAAGAGAAACACAAAACTAAAATTACTAGACAAATTTTGAACCACAATGTTGAAATCTTACAATACAATTGCAAACATTATAATTTATGACTAGCCGAATCAATACTCATAAAACAAATATTCAACAACGAGCAATTGGAATTCTTTTTACCAATAAATTTAGAAACAGAGTGTGAAAACTCGTAAATGTGTTACAAAGTCAAAAATTATAAAACTTAGTATTCACTTTAATCAAACAAGGAATCAACAAAGTGGAGTAGAGGCACAGTATATTTTCTGGCCACAAACACAGCATATCAATTTGATTGCCGAAGATGGTATAGGAATATCGAAAAAAGCTTTTCCGTTCTATCATGCATAAAACAAACAAAAATTTGGTTTTGAACGAAAGAAACTTGAAAATGATTTATGATCAACCGTTAAAAAAATCGCTAAGCTCAATAGGAAGTTAACTAACGTCGAACATGCTGTGATTTTCATCAATAATTGCATATATAAATAAATATATATATACATATTGTTATAACCGTGCTACCGAACGCACTAGATTCTAGCGTATTCTAGAATGTTCTATGTTCTAGTGAATGGAGCATTCTAGAGTATGCTAGAATCGGACCATCTAGAAGAATCTAGAAACGACGCTTGCGAAGAGTATATAAGCGCACGTCGCAATAAGATTAGCGATTAGTGAAATTCGGGATTAGTGAAATTCGTGATTAGTGATATTCGTGATTAGTGATATTCGTGATTAGTGATATTCGTGATTAGTGAAATTCGTGATTTTGTGAATAGCGATTCGGTGAATTATTTAAAGCGATATTTGATTTGTTTGTTGACGTTGTCATAGCGATAGATTTTGAACGATTTAAAAGTTAACTGTTGTGTTAATTTGAATTTGCTACAAATAAACGATTAGTTGATTTCTTCTGTAAATAAAGTTCAATAACTAATAGCTGTTTGGAGTATTTTATTCAATCGAAGATTTGAACCCGTCGCATCGTAAATCGGTTACGACAGCGAGTATTATAACAATATATATATACAGTAATTTTTTAAATCTACCAAATTTTTAGCGTTATCCTACGTTTTTTTTTAATTTTTTATTACATTTTTCAATATTTCTAACCAAATTCTTGTCGTCATTATTTATTTTCCTTATATAAACTGCAACAAGTGCTGAAGATGATTGAAAAATCCAAATAGGTCCTATATACTTGAGAAGGAATTGAAAAACTCTATATCATTCTAACGTTAATAAAATAAATGATGACGACAAGAATTTGGCTCGAAATATTGAGAAATGTAAAAAAAATATCCAACGCTAGAAATTCGGTAGATTTCATAAATTACTGCATTAATTATGGTCTTTCACTGGTATATATATATATATATATATATATATATATATATATATATATATATATACATATATATACATATATATTTCTTTTTAATTTATTAATTTCTGTGAAATTAATAAATTTAAAAAAAATATAAAAAAGTTGAACAATGTTGAAAGTTGTGTTGAATTTTTGAAATGTTGCGTTAACAACAATCTGTTACCTATATATATATATATATATATAAATATATATATATATATATATATAATATATATATATATATATATATCGGTAGAATTTATAGAATATTGTACAAATTATGGTCTATTACCAACATATATATGTATATATATATATATTTATTATATATATATATTCTTATATAAATTTATATATATATATATTTTTATATAAAATATAAATTAAATTTATTGAATGAATAAACTTATTATGTAATAAACCTCTCTCTCTCTCTCTATATATATATATATACACACACACACACACACACACACACACACACACACACACACATATATATATAGTATTGTTCCGTTTTTCTGTCTTTGTTTTCACAGCGACTTTGATTGTAACTTAATTGTCTAAAATTTCCCTTGTTATAATAGTTATAACAATACAACAAAACAACACTATTATAACAAAGGAAATTTTAGACAATAACACCAAAGCAATTTATTACAGCAGAGAATACTTCAAATTGAAGATAGCAGAATCAATTTTCATCGATAAACGCAAACCAGCAATAAATATTCAACTAAATAATAACAATATATAATATATATATGCTTATATGGGCTTAATGAATCATTACCTGTTCTCGGAAGAAAACGTGTTGTTCTGTGAAGATGACTCAGGCAGCACGTCCATTGCATGCAGCTTGTGGATGTTGGTACCAGTTTCAATGAATTTTCGAAACAAAATTCTGTCTTGAAGTTTTAACTTTTGCTGCACCAACCAAAAAAATATAATAACAATATTTACATTTTCTATTTCTTAATAATTTATTGAGTAATTTATAAGAGCAATTGTGATTTTAACAAATAAGAGTTTTTATATATGTCGTTACAGTTACAGTGTAACAAACTGTCACAAAATGCTACTATCTTTTAATTCATTAGTTAAAATAAAACAAACCTAAAAAATTATAGCTATATAAAAAAAGCAGAAAAACTTTGTTTCAAGAAATTGAAAAGCTTTCAGTAGCGCTCCCGTAATTTTAGAAATAAGAACGTTTGGTGCATAACAATACGGTTTTTTCACTACCAAAATTAAATGTGACGATAAATTAGCTAGGCATGCTATCAATCAGCAGCGCTTTTCAATGAATTTTGCAAACAGATGGGCCTTGAGATCTGCTCTGAAATTATTGTGATGGAGAAGTAGTTAAAGAAGGAGGTAGAGAGTTCCAAAAAATGACCAGAAAAAGCAAATGCAGATTTAGCAAAAAAGTTAAGAAGAAGTGAGAACTTAAAAATTTAGTAAATAATAAATATACAAACAATTAATTTTCATGAAGAAGTGAGAACAAGAACAAGAAGACGATTGTAAACCGGGGCGTTTAGGTTCAATTAATATTTTTGATAAGTACTTAGAAAATAATTTAGATGGAGACTTATATATAAATGTGCAAATTTTGATGATTATTCTATGTTTTATAGGTAGCCAGTGCAAGAGAACAAAATATGGAGATATATGAGAAAAGAAAGGGGCACGTGCAACTAGACGAGCAGCAGAGTTAACAGCTTTACTTAAAGGATAGATTGTAGAATCAGGAAGACCATAGTAGAGCGAGTTACAATAATCAATCCTAGATAAGACTAACGAAGTAACAAAAAGGAGAAGAGTAGGATCGTCAAGAAAAGGCAAAAGATTTTTATTCTACGTAGATTAAAGTAAGATCTTCTAGCAAAACTATAAATCTGAGAAGAAAGAGACATACTAGAATCAAAGATAAAGCCTAGACTACGAAACTTGTGTCAAACATCAAGAGTTTTAGAATCAGGAGAAATAGTAATAGAGTGTTTAGATTTATTAAAACAAATTAATTCAAATTTAGAAGGATTAAGTTTAAGACACATAGAGTCAGACCAAGCAATAATTGAAGAAAGACAGAGATAGATTATGAAGAACACTATTGAGATTAGATGGAAAAAAAGAAGTATAAATATAAGAATCATCAGCATATAGTTGACTAGTGAAAAAAAATAATAAGAGGTAGTTCAGAATTATAGAGTATAATTATAATAGAACCAAGGATAGAACCATGAGGTACCCCGAAAGTAAGAGTAAAGGAGTTAGAAGTAGAATTATTGAGAACAACAGAAAAAAACGATTACAGAGATAAGAAAAAAACCAAGATAGACAAAAATTAGTAATATTAAGAGAAAGATCTAACAGCCTTAAGAAAATAGTATGATCAACAGTATCAAAAGCCGAGAAAACGTCGAGAGCAAGAAAAAAAAGAAGATTAAGATTACCATTGCTATTAGAGAGAAGGATATCGTTATGTATTTTGAGTAAACAAGTTTCAGTACTGTGAGCAGGTTTGAAACCAGATTGAGATACAGGTAACAAGGAGTTAGAGTTGAAATAAGATGACAAATGATTATAAACTATTTTTTCTATTATTTTAAAGATGAAATTAATATTAGTAACAGGTCTATAATTAGATAAAGAGGAAGGATCTAAGGATGTGTTTTTAAGAATAGGAATAACATTAGAATCCCTATAAGAAATAGGAAATTTGGAGATGGAAAAAGGTTAACTAATTTGAGAATGATAGAATGAAATATAGAAAAAAGTTCTTTAAGTAAATTAAAAGGAAGCAGATTTAGAGAACAAGTTGTAGATGACATAGAATTAATAATTTTATAAGTTCTTGAAGATTTATACGTGCAAATACAGAAAAAGATTCACTAATAAGTCTAATAAAGTTATGAGGAGAAAAATTAGAATTAGATGCTCTCAAAGAATTAATTTTATTTACAAAAAACATCTACAAATGAGTGTTATCAAATTTTCAAAAGTCATCGTCATTTGAACACGAGAAAATATTTCAATGCACCTGAAACTAACTGTATTCAGATAATTATTTTTGAAATAATTTGAATTTTTGTTAAAATGCTAAAAAATTGTATCTGACGAATGCGTGAACGTTTATGAAGATAAAAATCTCTAACCAGCTCCTCTTGAATCCAGTCAAGAGCTTGTGTTAAATCATTAGTCTGGTTATTTTCAATTGTATCTTTTGCTCTTGCTTGTAATTTCAACAATTGCTGACCCGATGGCAACCAATTTTCTTCTAATGTACCCAAAGATGATGTGTGAAGCTAATGATTTGTAAATAATTCACGTAGCAATGATATTTTATTATAATTTTATCTAATAATTGAGTTTTTCATGTAGAAAAATTTGTAGATGTAAAAAGTATTCATAACGAAATTCTTCTACCTTTGATTTAGCTTGCAAAAATTTGTTTTGATATCTTGAAGGCAGTTCAGTTTTTTCACATTGAGATGTAGAATTTTCTAATTAATATTATTAAAAATTTAGTAAATAATAAATATACAAACAATTAATTTTCATGATTATTATTATTTAATCAAAATTAATTAAATTTGATTGAAGTTTATTGAAACTTCAGCTAAATAAATGTTGCAAAACTTGAAGAATAGTTTACTTGATTGTTGTTGTAGAACCGTTGTAGATAATTTTTTTTTTCTCTCAAACAGCGACGGCCTCTCAAACATCCACGCGTCTCTTGACGCAGCTGTCTTCAACAAATCACCTTCGAAACAATTTTAAATGGTCAATTTTTATTGTTAAGATTTGATAACAACGCCAGGTTGACGAAAATATAACATCTTTTAAAATGACAGAAAAATGATGTTTATGAACCAACACAAAGTTTGTTGTTCATGAAGTTCGTTCATGTCTAATGGTCTCGATCTTTGAAACGTTTGAGCTTTCCATTTGTAGCTGCTGTTCAAACGCAGTGAAACTGATCTGGTGAAACGTTTGTGTTGACTGAAATTTTATTTCTTCTCAAGGAGATTTAAACATTCAATAATAAAAAGTTCCATTCAACCTTCCAACTTTATTTCGATTTAAAACGTTGAATTCCATGTTGAAGCAAGAATTTTTCAATTTAAGGATTTATTTATAAACTAGTATAAACAAAAATTTCTGTATTCGGTGTATGTCATCTGAAGAGTTGAGCAATTTCAAGCTATGCTTAAATTATAAACTTTTCAAAACACTTCAGCAGTTGAAGTATCCATCATGAATATTAACAACAATGCTTGCTACCTATAAGCATATTGTTAGCTTTTCTAATAATAGATAATGTTAACATGAAAATGGTTTATGTGAATTTTTTTAAAAAAGCAGATTCCTATGAATTAAATTCCCGAATGAAATGAAGATCAATGATTAGAAAGACTGTTGCCATGAAGGGGATGATTTTTTATTGGGTTGAAGTATTTCACAGCGTTCAATGAAGAAAAATTTATCACCACAACATTATTATTTTAATTCAGTCGGCAATAACGATGAAAGTGTTAAAAACTTAAACTTAAAAAAGAAGAATGTCAAATGCGATGCCTGCAAAATGAATTACCAAGCTTTAAACATTCTAATGATAAATCGTGGTTGCACATTTGTTGATTCGCACATTTAGCTCTTCTCATTCGCTCTCACTAATCACTTTCAAAATTCAATAAACCGATATCTTCTAATTACTCATTAAATTTTTTAAGTGAAAATTTTTAATTTATTTTATTTAAAAAACTATTCAATTTTCAATTTTATGTGTGAAAAACAGGCTTTGAATGAAGGTCTTGTCTCAAGCCAGTGTTTATTCATGAAATATTTGGTAATGAAACTATACCTATTTTTCGTCATCAAACCGACAGCAAAAACTCCTTACCACGACTTCCGACGTCTATTCATAATTAAAATTTACAGGTTTTTTAAAATCTTGTTGGAGAACTAGAATCCATTAAAGTACTCCCAAACCGAGTTATTGAATTTGAATATGAAAAATAGATAATAAAATGCAAAACCGAATGTAACATTCCATATAATCAAGCAAAAACACAAATCTCACAGGCAGGTAAACCTTTATATTCTCAAATTGTTGAAAAGAGGTCTACAAAACTGACAAAGGAATTCAATGCAATTTGTTGAATATCCCACTAGTAAAAAATAAACCAACATATTTCAAAACGTCTGATCGTAATCAAACTAAAGATGATAAAGCAAATCAAACAAAAAAGCAAAATCCCTGCTATAATCCCAAACCAAAAGAAAAATCAAATGAAAAATTAGACCCCTTTCACTTCCCTAGCGATGAAGAAATGGATGAGAACATGATTGCATCAGTATTGATGAAGGTGATGAAAATGTTGGAAATCACAAAGATACAAAATCATCAAAAACAAAAAAAAATTACTTGATGTTAAAATGTCTGATGAAAATAAATTAAAATTAACCAACTTGAAATCTACTAATCAATTATACAGTGGCAAAAGAAAAAATATCACCAACATTTCTTCTCCCAATCATATTTTAGATGAAAATGCCAACAACATTAAAATCCTCCAATGGAATATAAGAGGGTTGAAGAACAACCTCCCTGAGCTTCAAATAATAATTCAGAAACATAAGCCACATATAATTTGTCTACAAGAAACAGAAGTAACTGAAGATAAACAAATAATTTAAAAAAATTAAAAGGCATACCACAAAGCAGCCACTTCAATAAAAACAAACCCATCAGCTGGAATTTCAATTTTTGTTCATCACAGTATGACTCAATCTCAACATCATATTACTACTAAACACCATTTTGAAGTATCTAAAATAACATATAATAAAACTATAATAATATGCAATGGGTAAATAAACCCAAAATCATTGATGAAATCTAAGGAAATAAATCAGATAGTAGAACAGATCCTTAACCCTTTCCTCTTTTTGGGTGATTTTAATGGGCACAGTCAGTTGTGAGGTTGTCAAAGTTGAAAAAAAATATAGTTTAAAATGATCTCTGTCTCATCAAACCAACCAAAACAACATTTTTTCAAGAACACACAAGCTCATCTTCCATAATTGACCTGGCCTTGTCAACTCCAACCCTCTTTGAGGATAATGAATGGGATGCGGAGGAAGATCTTTATGGCAGTGATCATTTCCCAATAATACTAACAATTAAAAATAAATCCTCAACAAACAATAAAGAGAAATTATAATAAAACCGATTGGCTTAAATTCAAAAAAATGACAGAAGAAACGGGAAAAGAATTTGAGACAATAGATGACGACTCAATGGACAGAAGAATAGCCACCATAACAAGGATAATAAAACAAACAACCCCGGTTATACAAAATAAAAAGTTCAAGATAATAAATCCTTGGTTTAATAATAAATGCCGAGATGCAATTAAACAAAAGGAAAACGCATTCAAAATATTTAAAAACAACCCTATCCAATTCAACTTCATCAATTATAAAAAATTAAAAGCTGAGGCTCGCAGAACCGTAAGAGAAGAGAAGAGGCCCTGTTGGAATTTTTTCATCAATAATCTTAATAGTAGAACTCCCATTAATAAAGTCTGGGAAATGATCAAGAAAATGAAAAATAAAAATAATGATAATAAAATCAGCCGAATAATTAATCGACTGAAAAAGAGTTCATAATATTCTCTGATTCCTTGTCTTCTCTTTCTGCTCTAAGTCAATACAAACCTCAGCATCAATTTATAATACAAATGCAAAACAAGATCCATAACATCTTGAACAATAACAATACTTTGATCATAATGTGGGTCCCCAATGACATTGGAATTAAAGGAAACGAAGAGGTAGATCAGAGAGCATCACAAGCTCATTCAATTTCAATTTCATGCGTTCCAATTCTAGCCACTGATTTGAAGCATCTAATAAATAACATCATTAACGAAAAATGGCAACAAGAATGGAACAAAATCTCAAATTTTTTAAAGTAAAGTACACCGACAGTAAATAACAAAACAAATAAAAATACTTATTTAAATCGCCATATGCAAACTAAAACCAATAGATTAAAAATAGGCCATTCGGCAGTCACCTATTCTTAGATTCTCAGAAAAACAAACACTCCTTTTTGTAAAATTTGCAATCAAAATCAATCTACTCATCATATACTAATTGAATACAGCGAGATTAGAAATAAACTTGGAGTGCCATTGTTTGTGGAGTCGATGTTCCAAAGTAGGAATCTGGAAGTTTTGGTCTCGTTTCTGAAGGAGATCGATATGTTAAACAAGATTTAAAGAGTTGAGAAGCTCCAAATACATATAGTCACAAAACCAGTACTGTGATGACCCCAGGGCGTAAAAATAGCCTCTTTGTGCTAAAACGCCGTTAAACTGCAAAGTAACAAACAAACAAATCATTCAATGTACAAAGATCCGATCAATTTCAGAAAATAATATTCATGTTTTATTGTTGATATGCATCAATGTTGATTCATAAAAATTTTGTGAATTTGTGAAATAAGACGACGAGTGGCGATTCATGAATTTATAAACATTATTTTCAATGCGCGTTGAACGAGAAGTAGTAATTATTCATCCAAATTTTTGTTAAATTTGTGAGGCAAATTCATTTGTAGTGCAAAATCTATTAGTATAACTTTCACCGTAGAATTCGTCTTTGCTGTCTCAGTTGGAAATGAAAAAATAAATTCTATAAATAGTTGTCATTATTCTTGATTTGCGCATCAAACAAATAAGAATTTGACGCGCAAATATTTAAGCAGCTAAACAAATGAGCATCACCTGTTTGCTTTGTTTGCTTCTTGCTTACAAATTCTCGCAAGCATTCTTGAGAGATATGTAAGGCTTACTTGTCCCTGAAACAAATAAATAACTGTTTTGAAGGTAAATTATTCTTTTAATATTATTGTTAGTTTTTTATTTGTGGAAACAGAAATTTATTTAAGGAATGAACAAATTCAAAAATTTCAGGTTTGAATTTTATCAAAACAAAGAGTTGCAGCGGTTACAGCTTTTAACAAGTTTTTGAAACGATGTACCAGGTGATTGTATTTGGTAGACCATATATATTATTCACAAGCATATAATTCAATATTCACAATCCATAAGAAAAATTTTTCAGTGGAAAATGTTTTAATTTTACATTAAAATATTTTGGTAAACTGTTTATAGTTATTAATTTAAAATATTTGAAATATATCACATATAAATTAAAAAGATTCAAATTCAATACTTTCGCCTCCCGAGTTGGTGGCTCATTTTCATAATAAAAGTTTAATTGTAGATAATAAGCTAAGTGAAGGTGAAGCTTTTCAAGCGTCCATTGAAAGGGAGTGTATTATCCACCATACTCAAATATAGAGAATTCAACAAATTTATGCAGTTTTGTTAAACATTCATCTGGAAATAAGCAATGGTAGATCTAGACAAGTTTGATGGGGGTGGCCTGAAATATTTTCAAAATCTTTCAACGTTGACCGGGAGGGAATTTACAATGCCCCGCACCCAGGATCCGCCACAGAATTTTTGTGCTTTTTAGTAAATAACTCGAATAACTTAGAGGATGAAACATTTATTTCTAATGTTATAGAGTTTTACCACGTTGAAGAATTTGCTACTGCTGTTAAAATTTAGAAAAATGATTTAGAAATATTAAAATACGATAACTTCAAAACTGGATTTCAATTTTACGAGAATACTACTAAAAGGGATAAAATTCTCGAACGTATTTCTCTTCTGAAAATATTTAAAGTTAATGGTTTTCTTGGCAAATGTTCTTTTTATGCAGGTGCTGATTTAGCGAGAATTCCGAATGTTGTTAATTGGCTGAATTCAAATTTTCAAATGGTTAAAAATGACATACAACAACAAACGGCCATAATGGAAGCGTTAGATACAAAACATACCTGTCATCTGGAAAAAATGCGCTCTGTTGTCTCAAACCATGCGCAAGAAATAAATAAAATTTGTGCAATAAACGTTAAACCAACAAACGTACTTGTTAATGATGCACATGTAGGCATTGCAAACAATGTAAACAACGTATTAAAAGCAGATTTAACAAATGAAGTTGTAAAAAACTGTAGTTGCAAAGTCATGGGAAAATAGAACTAAAGTTTTAGCTGCTAATTCTATGAACGAATCTAATGATGAACTAGATTCTGATGGCTTTCAGCTTGTGCAAAAAGCAAAAAAAGGATAAAAGTCTGTCGGTAGCCCTATGATTGTTAAAGATAAAAACAGTGAATTAGACACTAAGAAATCCAACAAAATGTATGGTACTGGTGCCAACTGCTTATTGAAGTCATCAAAAATTATAGAGAAAAAAATTACTTATTATGTGGGCAATGTCGGCTCGTGCAGCTAGGACATAATTTTGAAAACCATTTGAAAACTAACAATATAGCGTTCAATCATTGCTTCCCTGTCTTGCGAAAAAGAAACACATCGGATAATATATGGCCCAAGTACACGCTCCTGCGGGAATGGGATTTTTCGGGAAAAAAGTTGAAGAAAAATAATTGCGGACTATTGCAACGAAACATGGCGATGCGAGATAAATTCGTTAACAATTTAGTGTACAGCCAAACGCCATATTATACTGAAAATAGTTTAATAGATTTTATAGCTAGTTCTGAAGTTAATTTGTTTATATCATGTTTGTCCATTTTGCATATAAACGCTCAAAGCCTATACAACAAGATGACGACTTTACAAATGTTAATTAATCAATTTTATAAAATATTTAATCTGATAGTTATTAGTGAAATTTGGTTGAATGAATTGTCAGCTCCATTGATTGAATTATAAAACTATAAGTTTATATTAAAAAATAGAAACTTTGGTATAAGAAATGATTTGGATTTTTGTGTTGGTGAGGACAGTGGCGGATTAAGTCAAGCGGGGGCCCTAAGCAGAAAAAAATTTGGGCCCCCCAAACTTAGTGTGTCGTGGAGAGGCTTTTTAACTTTCAATTATTTCCAACTTATAACTATGTAGGTGATATACATCTTTGAACTAAAAACAACTTTTAACGAATTTGAATATATTCTGTCGACAGATTTGTTACAAACATTAATATATTAAGTGCGAAATTTTTAAAATATTAAACACTGAATTATTCAAATTAAATGTTCAAATTCTTTTTATTTACAAACACAACACACACACACACACACACACACACACACACACACACACACACACACACACATACACATATATATATATATATCATATATATATATATAATATGTATATATATATATAATAAATATAATATATTATATATATATATTATATATATATATATATATATATATATATATATTACGGAACGTGTCCGCGTTCATTTAAGGCTCTTCCAGTGCTTAGTGTTTCGGGTTTGTCTTTTTCCTATGGTGAACACCCTTTCTGGGATACAATCATTGCAAATATTTTTGTCGAGCGCCATTTCAGACTTCATGCTATTTGTGATGTGCTTCATAGATTAAAATTTGGTCAAATACAAATATAAAAAAAATACAAAATTTCCAAATAGTCAAAAAAATATGTTTGACAATAATGTAATTGGAAAAGAAGATTAAAAGAAATCATTGGAAAATAATCGACAAACAACATTTTTTTCAAATAAATTTCTTCCTAGCTTTACTTCTAGCAAATTCATCAATAATTTTGGCAGTGTCAGCACTATTCATTATTTCTTGTTTTATATACAAAACAGCTAAATTATTTAATTTTTGTTCCCCCATTGTACTCCTCAAATAATTTTTAATTCTTTTCAAAACAGAAAAAGATCTTCCACCAGATGCATTAGATAAAGGAATAGTTAAAAAAAATTTCAATAATATTTCAATATTGGGAAATGTGCATGACATTTCTTTAGCGGCTTTATAGATTCTTTCAAATGATAAATCTTTGTTATTACTTGAATTATCTGGCTTATTCTTAATGGCGTCCTCATTTTCCTTCAAAAACGAGACAGAAAGTAGGGATGTCCGAAGAAATATCACGGTGGCTAACGAAACGAATGACAGATTGTTTTCAAACATATTACTGTAAACTGCTAATGTTTGCAAACGCTTATTAACGTTGAATTCAGCATAGTAATTAAAAGAATTTTTTAATAATTTCATTATATTTCAAAATTTATTTCAGTTATTTTTATAAAATAATTTTTTTTACGGGGCTCTCTTTCCATTAATAACAAATATTATTTAAAATTTTATGATTTTTTTCAAATTTTGAAATTTCTTTATATTGGAAAATTTCAAAATTTTTACGGTGCCCCTAGCAGCTGCTCAGTCTGCTAAGTGTTAGATCCGCCACTAGGTGAGGATAAAGTGTTTAATGATGATTTTATAGGCATGTTGTGTATTAATGTAGGCCTACGATCAAAGAAATGTTACTGTTATAAATATTTAAAAATATTGCCTTATATCGATCTCCTAAAACAAATTTTGATGTTTTCTTGAATAAATAAGAAATTGACCTCAACGCATGTAGGTAGAATCATCAAACGTATCTTGTTGGGGGACTTCAATGTAAATCTTTTAAAATTAAATTCGCCAAACACTACACCATTTCAAAATTTACTTTTGTCATATAGCTTTCTTCCATTAATTGTTGCTCCAACTAGAGTCACTCCCACTTCTAATTCATTGGTCGATAACATTTTTACGAATTCTTCCGATGCCTTCATTGGTGGCGTAATTAAATCTGATCTCTCCGACCATTTCTATAGAAAGCCAAACCCCTTTCATTTAACGTAATTTATCAATTAGTAATATTAGTAAAATTAAACTTTTTCTTTCATCAACTGGACTTATGTTACAAAGGAAAATGATATAGAAGTGCCTGTTCACTTCTATATAATATAATAAATAAGACCCTAGATGCATTTGCTCTTTTGCGATCTTGCAAGCGCAAAAACAAAAATTCATGAGTTACTAAAGAAATTTTAAACATGTCACGGCACCGGAATAAATTGTTTAAAAAATACATCGTCAACCCCACCATAATTAACTTTAATATATACAAATAATTTAGAAATAGCTTCACAAACTACAAAAGGTATATGGAACATTAATATTTCAAAAATAAATTTCTAGATTCTAAAAATGACGCTTAAGGTAAATGGAATAAAATAAATAGTATACTTAATAAAAAACTAAATAAAATAAACATCAACAAAACCTTAGTTAATAATTTAGTAGTCGAAGATACAACAATAATTAAGTTGCGCTTTTAACAGCTGTTTTATCAAAGTTACTAAATCATTAACAGATACTTGCAACAATTTACCAAAAAATCAGGAAAACTCAAATCTAATCAATCCAACATACAAATCTATTTATCTCAATTTGGTTAATGAATCTGGAATAACAAATTTAGTTAAGAATATGAAGAATAAAAAAGGTAATCCTATGACGATTTAAGTAATTTTTTAATAAAACATATAATTAATGAGCTAATTGTTCCCGTTACACACATATGCAACCTTTCGCTATCGCAAGGAGTTTTTCCTCAATGTTTCAAAACTGCAAAAGTTATCCCAATATTTAAAAAAGGTGATAGATTGGACATGTCAAATTACAAACCCATTTCTCTTCTTTCACCACTTTCAAAAACTTTAGAAAAGTTAATGCACTCAAGATTAATTTTGTTTCTCAATTCAAATAGCATAATCACGGACATCAATACGGCTTTTGAGCCAATCATTCAAGAGAACTTGCTGTGTTGGAGTTCATGCAACGAGTGATGTACAACTTGAACGAGAAAATCTTAACTGTCGGGATCTTTATTGATTTGTCCAAAGCCTTCGACCTTATTATTCATGGTATACTTTTGCAAAAACTGCAATTATATGGCAATAGAGGAAAGACTCTGCATTGGTTTAATATTTACCTCAAAAACAGTAATCAATATCTAGCAATTTGTGGAAACAAATCAGGTAAACTAAGCATTATCTCTAGTGAACTGGCACAGACGATGACAACTTACCATGAACCCGAACAAGCTGAGAACGTTCATATAAAAAGTCTTTCAACCAGGAAAGTAAATTTCCTGAAATTCCATAAGACTGTAATTTACTAATTAGTTTTTTGTGCGATACGGAGTCGAAGGCTTTTTGAAAATCTAAGTAGACGGTGTCACAACACTCTCTTTGCTGACGAATTGACATCCAATCCCCGAGAAATTGTAAAAGGTTGGTGTTGGTGGATCTCCCAGGCAAAAAACCATGTTGAAATTGAGATATTAATTTATTGTTAGACATGTAAGATAACATTTTTTTATTGAGGATTTTTTCCATTATGCGGCAGCAAGAACATGTAAGTGAGATTGGTCTGTAGTTGCTTGGGTAGTTAGTTGGTCCTTTTTTGTGGATGGGAGTCACAATTGCAGTTTTCCATTTAGCTGGCAGCATATTATTTTTGAAGGATGTATCGAAAATATGACATAGTGGGACTGCTAGACTAGAAGCACACATTTATAGTAGGATGTTCGGAATACCATCTGGTCCCATCGAGGATGTACATTTTAGATTACGTAGAGCTGAAAACACTAGTTGGGGAGTGAAGCTAACATCGTCTAATGAATTGGTGGTACGACAAAGTAAAGTGCAGTTGCTGTTGTTGTTGTTGTCGTTGGTGAACACTGAGGCAAAATATTTGTTGAATGTGTTAGCCATCACCAATGGATCATAGGTAACGCTGATGTCGTTCAATTTCAAACTGCTAAGTTGTTGTCGAGAAAACAATTTTTTATTAACGTATCGATAAAAACTTCGAACATTAGTTTTTGCCAACAATCTTTGTTCATTGATTTTTTTAAAATGATTGGCCAGTTTTGAACATTTACGCATCATTGACAAATAGAGTTCTCTATCGTCAGAGGAAGATGTTATTTTCCATTTTTTCCAAAAATGAAGTTTTACTTTGTAAGATTGACGTAGCAAATTTGGAACTGTGCACTTGCGTGAGAAATTTGCATGACTTAGTAGGGAGACATACGTTGTCACAGCATTGTTGAATATTTGTTCGAAAAGTTCCCAGCAGGAGTTAACATCCATACAATACTGAAATAGGTAATCCCAGTTTATGCTCGTCAAACAATTGTTCATAGAAGCAAAATCAACCTTGGTAAAATCATAGAAAGATGTATCATTGTTAAAAACAACACCTGATGAGGTACTAGGTGCGCAGTTGACTGTAAATGTAAGACAGTTGAGGTCACTTGAAGCAAATGGACAGGAAACATCTAACTCGGCCAGCAAGCTGGCATCATCACATAGAATCAAGTCCAAAATATTGTTTCCCCGAGTTGGTTGATCAACCAATTGGTGAAGACCCAATTCACTGAAAAGATCCATAAAGATGTCATAGATATAATTGTTCGGTGCAGAGTAATTTATCCAGTCGATATTGGGAAGGTTGAAATCACCCATCAAACAGTTGATATCACCTTTGCAAAGTTCCTTTATGCATTGAGCGCTATCGAATGCATATTTTTCTGCCAACATATCGAAACCACCACTGCAATAATATGAAATAAAGCGGTAATTCTTGTTTAAGATAGCAATGTCGATAGAGACTATCTCAATATGTGAAAATGCTGATGACACCGAGACAACCCTGTAGGGAACGGTGTCCTTGATAATAAAAGCCACACCGCCACCACGTGTTTCACGGTCCCATCGAACAAAGACATAACCAGGTGGCAAAAATAAACTATCAGGATCATTCGGAGTTAACCAAGTTTCAATTACAGAAAAAATTTCAGGTTTATAAACTGATAAAAATAAAACCAGTTCATTTCGTTTTTTCTGAATGCTACAAACATTGGCGAGTGCGAAGCGGAGATGTTTATTAGATGTTTTCACGAAAGGGCTGATTACTCCCAGGTTGGTTGTTGTTGATTTTGTTCTGACGCCTTTCTTACCTTTTTAGATAAGCCAGTTCTGCCTGTCTTTTGGAAAGATCAGGATTCATGAAGATTTTTTTAGTAGCTGGTGATGCTCTGAGGATTCTAGATGAAGCTATTAAATATTCAACAGATGTTGAGTTATTGAGAGTTACGCACATCTTGCAATTACCAAAACGGCGGGTTCTAATTATCTGAGGTTTGATTGTCAAGTTATCTTCACAGAATTTTGAAACTAACTCCATGTCAGCAATCCCCGGCTGAGGTTCTAATCCTGATATTATGACGTTTTTAGACCGACGTTCATCTTCCTTTCGTTCCTCTTCCACCGAGAAACGTTCTTACATTTATTTAAGACGTTTTTAGACCGACGTTCATCTTCCTTTCGTTCCTCTTCCACCGAGGAATGTTCTTACATTTATTTAAGAATAAGCTCAAAAAATATTTAACTCCAAAAAATACCTTTTTTATAATTTCTTAAACAATTTTCGGGCAATTACTTTAATGCCGTAGTATTTTAAATTTGTCTATATGTATGAGTGATTTAGAGTGTCAATGATATAAGAGTGTGCGCGTATGTGTGTGGTTGTGTGAGAGTGTGTAAATATGCATGAAGAAGTATGCATGTGTGTAAGTGAGCATGAATGTGTGTGTTTGTGCATGATTAGATATGAATCTGTTGGTTTGAATGTGTTTGTAAGTTTGATTAGTTAAATAGTATATTTAATTATTCTTACTGAACTTCTTCCTCTATTAAGCGTTTTGTTAGGTAGGGTAGGGTAATGAAATTTATATTTACCTACTGATGAGTTTATTGGTGGATGGATATCTGCTTGTTTATATTGAATTATTTGTGTTGCTATTTAATCTGCATGGTTCATGAATAATTGTAGGAGAACGTTTAATTTTGAAAGTGTAGGTCAATCAAAGTATATCTGTGCTTTGAGCGTTTTCCCATGTGTGTGTATGTATAAAGCTTAAATTTTTATTTATAAATATGTATGTATGTGTGAATATATATGTGCGAAAATATGTACATTTTTTTAATTTTTATTAATTTTTATTGCTCAACAATAACAATTGGTAAACTTTGATAGATGCTGATATTTTTAGTTTTAGTTTTTATTCCTTCTCCTTTCTGTTTATATTGTTTTCATATTTTCATTATCGATGATTCCTCTGTTTCTAAATTTATTGAAAGGAAGACTTCCAATTGCCCGTTGTTGCCCATTTATATGAGTTTTACAGTTATTTTTTTTCTATTATGGCTAAGGCACTGATACAAGTACATGTTTACTTTTTTGTGCTTGTGAATAATAAAATTAAAATAAAATAAAGTATATATATATATTGGATTAAGACTGTCAGAAATACAATTATTGATGAAAATCACAGCACGTTCGGCGTTAGTTAACTTCCTATTGAGCTTAGCAATTTTTTTAACGGTTGATCGTAAATCATTTTCAAGTTTCTTTAGTTCAAGACCGAAATTTTTGTTTGTTTTATGCATGATAGAACGGAAAAGCTTTTTTTGGTATTCCTATACCTCACCTTCGGTGTTTAAATTGATGTTGTGTTTGTGTTCAAGATGCTCATATATATATATATATATATATGTATATATATATATGTATGTATATATATATATATATATTTTTACAATATTCTATAAATTCTACCGAATGTTTGGCGTTAATATGTTTGTAGTTCGTTTTTTCGATTTTTCTCACTAAAGTTTTTTGGTGAACGTTTAGTTTATTAAAATTCAAAATAAACTTATTTTTCGAATTCATGCTGCAAATAAGGCCATATTTCGATTCCGAATGAATCATCGTCAGTGCTCCTTGCTGTATATATATGGAAATATTGACTTTGTCAAGATTAACTTTGACGTTGTAAATATCAACACTCAAGCCGAGAAGCGCGAATTAATTTATTTAATTAACTACATATTATAAATATTATTTTTACAATATTTAAAAACGCAGACTTAATTAACTGGAGACTACAGACCAGGTTATATGTATGGTACTGTCAAAATTTACAAAACTGGCGACCCACTTTGTCCAATAATTAGTCAAATCACATATAATGTAGCAAAATGGCTCAACAACATCCTAACTCCATATATTCCAAATGAACATTGCATTTCTTTATCATCAGAATTTATTCACATCCTAAAAACTAGATCATCATCAGGCATCATATCATCAATAGATGTGGAATCTCTTTTCACTAACGTTCCTGTTGATGCCACAATGTATATAATAGTTCTATGAATCCACTAAAAATTAAACCTCATCTGCTAAAACAGTTACTTCAAATCTGCACAAAAGAAGCTCCTTTCTACACTCCTGATGGAAAAATGTATCAGCAGGTCAATGGTGTAGCCATGGGCTTCCCTCTAGGAGTGATGTTCGCAAACTTCTACATGGGATATTTATAAGAAACTGTTTTCCAAAACAAACCATATCTCAAACCCGAAATGTATGTATGATATGTTGATGATACGTTCATTATAGTAGAAAATGAACACAACTTGATGGACCTAATTGATGAATTTAAATCCAACTCAGTTCTTTCTTTTACCCATGAAATTGAAAATAATAAACAGCTACCATTTTTGGATGTCCTGATAACCAGAAATGACATTGGTTTTCAAACGCAAGTTTATGTAAAAGACATCAATTTGGGATTTTGTCTTAATGGTAAAAGCGAGACCTTAGAACAATATAAAAATAGTGTTATATTTTCTTTAGTTAACAGAGCGTTTCAACATTGCTCTGATTATACACTCATCAACTCAGAATTATTAAGAATAAAAAACTTCTCGTGAACAATAATTACTCTTTGAAACAAATTGATAAAGTCATAAATAGATTAACCAAAAAATATCATGAAAATGCACAAAATATACATCAAAATAATGCAATTACCAACAACGTTCCAAACAACAATGAACAGGAAAATAATGGCAACCCCTCCACCACGTCTAATAACTTTGATAATAACAGCATCACAAGCCTCACCACAAACAGTAATAACAATAACAACAACAATAACAACAACAATAACAACAACAGCAACAACAACAGCCGTATCATTAGAAACCAAATCAACAACAAAATGAATGACAAAAATAAGATAATATTTTATTACAAAAATACTTTTTCAATGGCGTATAAAGAAGATGAAAGAATTTTAAAAGGAATAATACGCAGAAACGTAGTAGCGTCAAATCCAACTAATAAAGTTGTTCTTCGAATTTATTATCAAAATTTAAAAACATCCCAACTAATCATGAAAAATAATTTCCTTCCTGCAACTACTCAGCTACAACAAAGTCATCTAATATATGAATATAAATGCTCCGTCGGTGAATGTTCGCACCGCAACAATGCTTCATATATTGGAATGACAACTACCCCATTGTCAAGAGACGTTTGACCATGCATCTACAAGATGGAGCAATTAAACAACATTATCAACAACATCATAACATCACTTTAACACGACAAATTTTAAATAACACGCAAATAGTTTATTGCAATAACAACATCACAAACCTGAAAATAGCTGAATCAATTTTCATACAAAACAAAAATCCCTCCATGAACATTCAAGTACAGTCTAACAACATTCTAGGTTCTGGAACAACGGCCTTCTTGTGGTGGAACCGATTGGCGTCGTGGTCAGGATCGCTCCTCTCCTCCTCGTCAACAAACCGTTGCAGCAGCCCCTCCCCATCATGACTTTACCGTTCTGGGTTTTTGCCTGGGGAGTAGTCCTCGCCGGCCGGCCTGCTCCGTATGCTATTACTGCGGGCTGGCATCGAATCTAACCCAGGTCCGAAGATATGGATCTGCGAGATATGTAACAAACGTATCAACAAAACTCACTACTCTGTCCGCTGCAGAACATGCTGCAAGTGGACACACCTCAACAACTGCGCCACTAACTTAGGAAGTTATTATCTCTGTAATAACTGTCCTCACCCTACTACAATTTCTAGCTCACCGGTGCGTGGTGCGCAACCTAATCGTCCCATCATCCGCAATAAAACATCTGCAACACCCAACATCAATCCAATCTCGCACTCGGACAGCAAGCTGAATATCCTTCAATTCAACTGCAACGGTCTCAAGAATAAGAGTGCCGAGATTGCTCATCACCTATCCATACACAATATCTCAATCGCCGCCCTCCCGGAGACGAAACTTTCAACTCGCTCTGCTGTTCCGGTTTTCAAGAATTATGCTATATACCGGAAAGACCGGAAAAGTGGTCGTGGCGGCGGCCTCATGATGCTGATACATCATAAGATCCCTTACACCATTAAACAGCTACCTGATACAGTTACCATGGAGAGCCAGGGGATCACCATCATGGCTGATGACACCGAGATAAATATAGTGAACGTATATATCCCTCCTCAATCTGCTTGCCCACCTCATTTCTGCGCTTCAATAGCAGACTTATTGGAATTCCCTAACATCATTCTACTTGGCGATCTAAATGCTCATGATGGCCTCTGGTACTCGGGTAATAGCGATGCACGTGGCGAAACGCTGGCGGCGGAAATAGACGATTCCGACTGTTGTACTTTAAATCTTGACTGTCCAACCAGGCTTCCATCTAATTGTCAGCCAACTTCTCCAGATTTTTCTATTGCCTCTATCTCTTTGACTAACTGCCTTAATTGGTCAGCAGTCACAATTCTTTCTTCAGACCACCTGCCAATTCATATATCTCTCGACCTCCGCATTACTCTAACCAAAAACCCAAAAGTGACGTTTATCAACCTTTCAAAAGCTAACTGGCCGGGTTTTACAGCTGAATCAGAACTTGCATTTCAAAATACACTCTTCCCCAACACTGTCACAACAGCCAAAAGAGCGTTCCGTAGAATGTTAGGCAACGCCGGTGATTACAACATTCCTTCTGGTAGGCTCATCAATTCCCAGCCAGGGCTCTCGAAGGAAGTCACCGAGCTGATTCGCCGAAGAGATGCTCTTAGGCTCTCCAACCCATCATCCGACAATATCTCAACTCTTTCAAATGACATTCACAACAAAATCAATAGTATCAAAACAACAAATTGGAAGGACTTCTTAAGCACTTTCAACTGACATACTAACCCTAAACGTCATTGGAGCGTCATCAAGTCTCTCAACGGCAGACCCAAACTCAATCCCAACAACGCCATTAACTTCAACGGTAAGCCAATCTCAAATGGGCTTGATATGGTCAACCTTTTCAATAAATCCTTTACCTGCTTTAGTCAGCATAAAACCAATAAACTAAACAGGTACATCAACCGTGAGGCAAAACGGAATTGCCTATCCGATCACCCTACATTCACGGTGGATCAGGTGTCCGCCGCCATCAAAGCGGCCAAGGCATCCAAAGTCTCTGGCCCAGACAACATCACCATGCTCCACCTAAAAAACTTAGGTCCTTTGGGTCTGGCGTTCTTAACCAAGGTTTTTAATTAGTCACTCAGATACTGCTGTATCCCAGACATCTATAAAAAGGCCCGGATCATTCCTCTTCTGAAGCCAGGTAAGTCTGATGAAGACGCCAGATCTTACAGACCCATTTCACTTTTTTGGCCTGCCGTTAAGATACTCGAGAAATACCTCCTCCCATTTATTTCTGATCATCTGTCCCCGGCCAGTCACCAACATGGTTTCCATTCAGGACATTCCACTCACTACCACTGCTGTCTCTCTCCTTTCTATGGATGTTGCCAATGGTTTCAATCAGAAGAGACCAGCACATCGAACCACGCTGGTAGCTTAGGACCTCTTAAAGGCTTTAGACATGGTCAACCACAAAATTCTTATTTCTGACCTTTTGAAGTCCTCGCTGCCAAGCTCCATTTCACGCTGGTTGTCAAACTACCTGCACGGTCGCTCTGCTGTAATGGAATTCCAAAACCAGTCGTCTAAACAGAGGAACATCCATACAGGAGTTTCTCAAGGTTCAGTCCTGTCCCCTGCGTTGTTCAATTACTATGTCTCACGCATTCCTGAACCACCATCTGATATCAAGATAATATCATATGCGGGCAACTTCCCCGTCTACACGACCGGCCCGGATGTGGATATTCTGACACAGCAACTTAACAACTATCTCCCTCTCTTGATAAACTTCTTCTCTCTCCGCGACCTGGAAATATTCACTTCTAAATCTTCTATAACTTTGTTCACCACACCTCACACAGCGCAATACCATATCATCCCCAAGTAAAGGTAAACGGACAGGTTCTACCGCTAGAACATAACCCGAAAATTCTTGGCCTCACTTTCGACCCGATGCTGACCTTCACTCAACGCCATAAATTGTCAGCATCCAAGGCCACAAAACGGAATAATGTTTTAAAAGCTATCAGCGGCACCACCTATGGCCAAGATAAAGAGACCCTCTTACAGGTCTACAAGGCCATAGGCAGATCAACAAAGGAATATGCATGCCCGGCCTGGTCGTCTCTCTCTTCGGAATCCAATCTATGCCGTCTTCAACGCGCTCAGAATGCTGCACTGAGAATCGTCACTGGCTGTCCGAGTTACAAATTACATCCGAGAAGCATCTACTGTCCGAGTGCCAGTTGCTGTCAATAAAACAGCATACAGATCTACCGTCAAAACAATTCATCACAAAATGTTTCGACCCTCAACATCCATGCCATACATTGTTGTCAGCCGAACTTCTCCCTCGTGTGATGAAAAACACTCTGATGTGAAAATGGGGAGCCCCAGTCAGATCCACCTTACACGCTAATTTGGATAGTGCAAGTATCAATATGGCTATTCGGAATTTACATGGCATGGCTGCCAAGGCCGCTGCGGAGGCGTACCACGCGCCGATCCTGCCTAACGGATGGCCCTCTCCACAACCACAAATAGACAGCTCAGAGGAATCTCTTCCTCGGGCAATAAGAAGAACTCTGGCCCAACTCCGATTTGGCCACAGTATCATCTTAGGCAGTTTCAGGGAAATTATTGATGGCGGTACAGGTAATATGTGTCCTCACTGTCACACGCACGTAGACGACTTGGCTCATCTCTTCTCCTGTCCTGCCAATCCTACGAATCTCAAGACAAAAGACCTGTGGCAAAACTCAACCGCGGTTGCTGATTGGCTCAGGCTTCGCCTGACCAATGGATAGGTGGTCGTGAAGAGGCAACAACAACAACAACATTCTACCTTCAAATAAACTACTAAATAAAAACAACAATCATTATAATTATAACAACAACAATTACGACGACAGCAATAATTATAACAATGTTATCACCAACAATATTGATGATGTAAACAACAATCATACCAATAGTGACAACCTTAACAACAACATCAACAACATCAACAACACCAACAACAACATCAACAACATCAACAATAACAATAACAGTGCCAACACTGTTGATACCAATGCCAGAACCCTCAGCGCAAATACCAGTTGCAATTGGAACATCATCAATAGTGAAAACCCTAACAACAACATCAACAACACCAACAACAACATCTACAACAACAACAGCATCAACAATAACAACAACAACAATGCCAACTATGTAGATACCAAATCCACAACCCACAGCGCAAATATCACTTGCAAATGGAACATCATCACAAGAAGCAAGAAGAACCACAGCGATGATAATAATAATAATTGTATAAATAATAATAATAATAAATATTGTAAAAATAATATTAATAATATGTAGTTAATTAAATAAATTAATTCGCGCTTCTCGGCTGAGCGTTGATATTTACCTTAACAACCATAATATAAACAATCTTGCTGTTAACATTTTAAAAATCGCGTTTTATATTGTTTAATGTCATTAAATTTATATTATTGGTTCTCTGTTTGAATTAAATCATTTATATAAATAAATAAGTACTTGTTCCTTCTTATCAAATATCTTACATACCATATATATAATGCACTGAAGATCTATAACTCGAAATAGCTATTTGCAAATTTATTTAATAAAAATTTTTTAAAAACAATAAAATGTCTAATTCTAATTTCTCTGACATCAATAAATTAAAAAGAAATATAAAAAAGTTGAACAATGTTGAAAGTAGTGTTGAATTTTTGAAATGTTGCGTTAACAACAGTCTGTTACCAATATATATATTATATATATATATATAATATATATATATATATATATATATATATATATTATATATATATATTATATATATATATTTATTTAGGAACGAGGTTTTCAGAAATGCAAATTTCATTGAAATTGTTTGCCCATTTTGCATTAATTAACTTCTTTATAAGACATTCAACGAGGCGGTATTGTTTGAGTTCATATTTATCTAAAACTGGAATAAAGCTAACAGCGCTGCTTCGGCGTAATGCCATCTTCAGAGCCTAAATATTGTTTAAACATATAATTTAATTAAAATAAATGTCTAATGTAAAATGTGAAAATATAGAAAATAAAATATGTATTAAATTGTGAAATAAATTAACCTTGTTGTAAATATCATAATAACTAAAGTTTATGTAGATTATATAAATAAAATAATGTAATTTAAATAAAATGTTTAGTAAAATAATTAAAATATAGAAATTTTATAAAAGTTTTAACATGGTTGAAAAAACGTTGGTGAAAACTAATTACAAATGACATGTGCGCAAGATATATAATATTGCTGTGTATGCGTTGTGAATACAACTATTGCGGTTGAATATGTGTGATACGAGTTTCCACATCAGACCTACGTATACATAGTTAAATATAAATACATATATGTACATGCAAGATACATGTCGATGTATAGATCAAATATTAAGTATCACATAATACATCCAACGACGCAATAACAGTTGTCGGATGACGCTGGGTCACAAACTGCGTGTTAATGGGTTGAAATTTCAATGTCATTTGTAATTAGTTTTCACCAACGTTTTTTCAACCATGTTAAAACTTTTATAAAATTTTTATATTTTAATTATTTTACTAAACATTTTATTTAAATTACATTATTTTATTTAAATAATCTACATAAACTTTAGTTATTATGATATTTACAACAAGGTTAATTTATTTCACAATTTAATACATATTTTATTTTCTATATTTTCACATTTTACATTAGACATTTATTTTAATTAAATTATATGTTTAAACAATATTTAGGCTCTGAAGATGGCATTACGCCGAAACAGCACTGTTAGCTTTATTCCAGTTTTAGTAAATATGAACTCAAACAATACCGCCTCGTTGAATGTCTTATAAAGAAGTTAATTAATGCAAAATGGGCAAACAATTTCAATGAAATTTGCATATATATATATATATATATATATATATATATATATATATATATATATATATATATATATATATATATATATATATATATATATATATATATATATATATATATATATATATATATATATATATATATATATATATATATATATATAT